TCGATTCAAGAATTGGCCAAGTTATGATAGAAAATCAAGGTATCCGGCATCATGTATGACTCTTTCTCGTCGATTTTCGAAAAACCGAAACATGAATTCATCGTTTACAAGGACATATACTCCCACCGGATGTGTTCAACGGAAAAAAATTTCAATTTCTATACACACATCCAATAAGATATCCGTGCTCGGACAGTACACGTAAATTAAGACGGAACAAGAATTCAGACGAGGAGGTTTCCCAACACCTCAAGATTGACTCTGGAAATGAGTCGCCTTCTCTCGCCTCGTGCAATTCAATTTCGATTACATTACAAGTATCTTGGAATGATCAATAACGAAGCATCAATCTCAATCCGAAAGACAGTGCGAAGAAAAGGCACGGCCGGCGCTTCTTGATTGCTCGTGATTGTATACAAATCAGCACGACAATACGTAGCACACTTGCAGAGGAATATTATTCAGACTGTGTCTGAATGAAATGTCATTAGCAACCGTTGTGCGTAACAAAGATGCACGCCGGTACGAACCGGTCGATAATCAATATATCGACAATTTCGTCGTAATTTCTATTAGCCTCCGTGATTATTTCCGCGACGTGGACGAATAAAACCTACCCAGATAGATACATATGTACACATGTGCATATACGTTGGCTTTCTATCGTGCACCTCGTCGCTCCTCTTTTCTTCTCCTTTTTTTTTTTTTCATCGAGCTTTCCCGATGAGGGCTGCACTCTCAATCGAGAGACGAACTCGTTATTACACTTTCGCGACGTTGTTAGAAATTAGTCAAGCACGAATACTTTGAGGGAATCAAGTTTTCCCAACAGGATGGGATATATAAGCACAGCAGAAAGGGTTAATCACAGAAATAGTTGCATAAGCTGTTATTATAATATTTTGGAGGTCTTCTTTTGTTCTAACAAATAGTTCTGTGAAACTCTAACTCTTAATTATACCCTTAACAACGTCTCTCGTGCAAAAACATTCAGCCATGCCCGATTATCAAAAGAGAATTATGCAACACACACACACACATATATATATATATATATATTCTTTTTGCAACTCGTAGACGAAGAAAACTCGTCCTGTCTACCGTCAAATCGAAATGTCAACACGTATGTCCATATCCTTCGAAAGAAACTTCGAAGGAAACTGAAGGAAGTTGAACTGACTTCGGGACAAAACCTCGGTGAGAAAAACTCTTCCCTTGCTCTCGAGCGTACCCGACGTAATCGAATGGAATTAAAGAACGCAAGAGAGCAAGTACCGCTTTTATCCTACGCCGTTCCACGTTCATCGTGGAACATCGTTTTTCAACCATCTTTCCGCGCGTTTTCTTGATTAATCTGCAACGTGCGGATCCATACAGCGTATCATACAGTTTCAACCGCTCGAGCTACGACTCGACCGTTCCCGCAGATGCAAATGCAAATTAATTAACCCGGATTCACCTCCTGAGAGGTTTGGAAACGATCGCAATTAACAAGGTGCGCGCAGATAGGTTCGCGTACGTGGTCAACGTACGATGCATATATTCATCGTGCGGCGAGGAGGAGCGCGTGGGAAGGGTGGTAGAAGCCTGGAAGGGGAGGAGAACAGAAGACAAGAGGACGCATCGAGGCCGACAAAACGAAATGTTCTCGGCCGGGAAAGAAGAAGCCGGCGGGTATAATGGATATCTTTATTATCGCAGGGGAGAAGGCAAAGCCGACGAAGGGAGTCAGGCTTCCAAAGTGGTCGTGGTATCATCGTGGTTGCAACGAACGGCGTTCCGCTATGGCAGGCCAACAGAACTTCGGTCCAATTGGTCTACCCCCTCCCCCTTCCTCTCCCCCGACATAAATATTGATGAAAACGATACATTTATACGCGAACGACAAGTCCGTCCACGGAGAAAAAGCCGAGAGATTTATTGGGACGCGGCCCCGCGACGACAGCCATTTCTGCGCCGATCATACATCAAGCGGAGAGCCTCCAGGCCAATTCTCTTCGATCGCGAAGAGAGAGAGAGAGAGAGAGAGAGTTCTCTCCCCCCCCCTCTATCTTCGATTCCCTCCATGCGATTCCTGTTTCTAGACCGAGCCGCGCACAACCGATTCGTTAAAGAGTGTCGTTTCGGGTAGCATTTTTTTCAAATGCTCCCGCCGGACGAGACTCGATGATCGTTTACCGCTCTAACTTCCCTTTCTTTCGCGTCGTCTTGAGCTTCGCCCAACCGCACTTGCGAGCTTTCGCTTTTTATCGCGCGCTGACGCGTTCCGTCAAAAAATTTTCTCTCTCTCTCTCTCGGCTGATTATCAGTCGCCTCGTTTGTATTCGATTTCGAGAAGAAACGATCGGATTCGTTTCGGCAAGACTGCGAAATTAGAATAAAAACTAAATAGAGACTAACGAATAAAATGAATATAGAGCGTACAATGAACGGTTCGATAACGATCGTTAGCTGTATCGCATTAAATGTCATCCGATTAAAAACTTGATGCGACGGTTGTGAAAAAAGGGAGACGAAACGAGTTAGCGATTGTGTTTAGGAACCCGCTTCTTTTCCATCACTTGCGCGAATGTTTTGTAAACGTCATTAGAACCGGTTCCCTCGAACACGTGGCGTCGAATGAAACGTGCCAGGGAATTATTTAAAGCCCTTAGTCTTGCTAATTTAATAGCAAGAGGCGTACCGCAAAAAGAATATTTAGAAAGGGAGGACGGTGCGAGCAGGATCAACCACTGCGCGCGTTAAATTTGATTTACGCGCCGTCGATGATGTATCAGTTTCGTATATCACCGGTTGATAATCGCCAAGGACGACTGAAAATCTCTATATTCGAGCGTTTCATTTTGTAACCCCTTGTATCATTTCTGTCGCAATTTTGGCCGAAATTTAAATTTTTAGCCAAGCTAAAGATTTCATTTTTCATGAAAATAAATACAAATTTCCAATCTTCTACTACTCGTTCAAATATCATACTAATATAAAATAAATCTAATAAAAATTCTCGATTTTTCATAAAATACCGAATCTTTTACAATTAAGATCGTCATTCCTATTTGTGCTATTCAAACTGAGAGTAACAAATCTTGGAAGAAAAAATAATATTATAACGATCGAATAATACATGTATTGCAATGGTCTTGTACACGAATTGTACATATGTATAAATGATGAAGTCTTCAACTACCAACGCGCCATCTCTCGTAAATACATCATTGATACCGATCACGATGCAACCGATCACCTCACCGAGAATGTTTTCTTACATCGGTGATCCCCGGACAAGCAGGGGACCAGCCCCCTTTATTGGATTTAGTCCCCTAATGATTTTGTCAAGCCAAGATGAAAAGAACCTGCCAACATTCCGTCGTGACTCGTTCTGCATTCGAATTTGGCGCTGTAGCCACACTTGGTTGACTTGACGGGGGGATCCCCACGTAAATTATGCCTCACGGATCGTAAGCCATCACCTAACACAATTAACCACGGAAATTAGCTGACAGGGAAATAATTCTCTTAATGTCGTTAATAATTTCAATCTCACAATGTTTTATGTATGTACGATTACTCTTGTAAATTACTTACTTTGATTTACGATTACTTCAATTGCTCATAACCTGTCAAGTGTACACTCGAATTTAACCTATCAACTAGCCGAGATTTATTTCAAAAACCGAAACACACGATTCTTATTCAGAAGAAATAGACAGGCATTAATCAAGATATAAAGGTCCAATTATTTCCTTAAGTACCACACGCGAACGCATCGTGTGGTACGTTAGTATCTCTTTCACTATTACGCGAAAACCAATAAATCTCTCTCGTTTACAATCAGATAGACGCATCGCGTATCGTTTCTTTATATAGCGGTGTTCCCCCGTTCCAGGAACGGGACCCTTGATCATACACCATTAATTATCAACACAATGCATGAGGATTAGGTTTTTCTGAGTCGCGGGCCACCGAAAACGTACGTGCGCCCGCGATGCATCCCCGCACGTCACTCGGACGTCAACTTTAAATGGAAATGTCTTAATTATCAGAGCACGTAGCGGCCAACAAAAACCGCTGCCCGCTTCTGAATCGTCCCACCGCGACGCTACATGCATGCTCGCGACGTGAAGCGGTGAAGTAAGATTCTCGTACGTAAGAGAGGATGCTGATGACATTTATTAATAGGCAGCAAACGTAAAGTGAATAGAGTAAAAGACTCACGAATTGTTGAATTGTCAAACGATATGATGGCTGCCTGCCCCTTCCCCCTCCCTTTCCAATCTCGGCGGCTCTGTAATATTCAAAAACGTTATCTCTCGTGCAATTTGAAATTCAAACGAAGAAGTCCATCACACTTACCTAGTCGTCTCGCGGTTCATCGACATTTTTCATTGTCACGCTTG